GCTTGCTTTATCGTGGGCTTCCTCTAGGCACATCCTCTAGCTTATTAATTTAGGAGTTCCTTGGAGTTCTATCCTTAATTCTCCTCATCATTTCTAACTTTGACTCCAGCAAAATTTCATCCAGGGCCACAGAGTCCCAAAGAAAAACTCTTCCTTCTGAGCATCAGTTCTCTTTATTTAAAACCTTGTGAGTCAGCTCCTCTTGGATGTGCTAAAGGGTTTTAAATATGACATATCCAAGTCTGATTTGGTCATCTTTCCTCATGCTCCTTATCCTGTACTCTCTGTTTCTGAGAATCACCTTCCACCCAAACAGGCAGGCTCAAGCTGCAGCTTCATCTGAACCCCTTCTTCCTTTACCTAGCTCCTGCCATTGAGGTCTGAAATCTACCCCTCCCCTTTTTTTCTTTAAAAAAAAGGTACTGGTTTTTCCAATTGGAAATATAGTACATTTTCGAAACAGTGAACTTAGAAAACACAAAAGTTCATCAAGGAAAACAACAGCCAAGGCTCTTGGATCACAGTACACAGAGAAAAGCACTATTGGCCCCACACCCCTTAAGAGCCAGCTCTGAGGAAGGCCCTCTAAGGTAATACACCACACTCAAAATTTTCTGATCACAATGATGTGGAGCCATCCCTACCCCAGCACACATAAAGGCCAGGGTAGGGGAGGCTGTGGCTCCCATAACATTTCTGAATCCTATGTTTTTGATACTTCTCCCATCAGTCTCCTTTCGGGGCCTCATCTAATTCTCTTGCCTAAATTTCTACAAATGCTTCCTTCTCATCTTCCTGATACTATGCTCATCCTTTCCAGTATGTCCATACTGCCTTCAGAATCCTTTCTTCTCTATGCTAGTACCTGTAATCTGAGCAACTATATCGAAGATAGCAATGTGCAAGACTAAAACCACAGTTGAATACCTCTCATCTTGGTCTTCCAAATGGGTACCATTTCTAATGTCTTATCAATTATGATTATATTCTCCTTAAAATAAATTTAAAAAATAAAAAAGTGAAAGGTAAAAAGAAAATTTCTTTCTTCTACCAACTAAGTATTGTTCAAAATGCTTCAACAGCTCACAGCAGCTTACTGATTATCATCTAAAACTCCTTTAATCAGGTGGAAAAGATCTTGAAAATCTGGTTCTTCCTTTTAGCTTCGTCTCCCCAGAGTCCTTTCATTAGCACACATATTTGAGAACCCCCTCTATTCCTGCTTGGAATCTAGCATCCTTCCTTCTGATATGTCTGGTGACCTTCTGTTTGTCCTCCAAGTTTCAGCTTAATTCTGCCTGCCTTTAGAGGCCCTGAAGTAGAGCTGGCCCTGATGTAACATCCTCTGCTCAACATATTGTGTGTGCATTTGCCTGTCTCCAGAGATTGTAACTCAGCGAGGACATTATAGGCACTGACTAGGAGCAAAAGCAGAGCCCCAAACCCTCTGAAGCTTCCTGCACAAGCTGAAAACCACTTTTCTATATTGATAGGTAGGAGATTGCAAATTTGTAATGTAGCAATTTTTTTCTATGGATTCCTTCATGGTCTGACAGTAATATATTCCTAATGAAAGTAACCTCCAAACACTTCAGGTAGACTAATGAGCTCTCTTACTGATCTTCTTTCTACCGTGCTTTCCAAATTGAAGCTTCTTTGGTATTTTTTAAAAAACATACATCTGACCAATTCTCTTCCTCCACCTCAGGCACACTACACCTTAACTTAAAATCCTTTATGGCTCTTCAGTATTCTCAAAAGGGAGTACACAAACAAACAAACAAACAAACAAAAAACATCTCTTAACATGACTTACCACATTTTGTCCCACCGTTACTTACAACTATGCTGGCCCTTCTCTGGATTCCTGTACTTTCCCCCTTGCCCCACTACAGGACTAAGCTTTGCATATAGTTTTTCTGCCTGGGTCTCTTTCCATTCTTCTTCACCTGCTACATTCATTCTCATCCCCTAGTGCTACTGCCTCAAGGCAATGTTTCCCATCTTTGCATAGATCAAAGCTGCCATGTGCTCCCCTCCAGAGTGCCTATCATGCTGCACTTTTTAAAAAACATTTTACTTATTTGGTATAGGGCCTCACTACTCAGCTGGGATTCCTAGTGACTCTCCTGTCTCAGCCTAACCAGATCTAGGATTACAAGTATGCGCCATCACTCTGAGTTTTAGTAGCCGGCATGTGCTGCCACCAGATGCAGTACTGGGGATTGAACCCAGGTCCTTGCACTTGCCAGGCAGGCACTTAGACTGCTGAGCTATCTCCCCATCCCATTATGTTGCATTTTGATTTTGAACAACATCTTACAGTTGTTGTCTACTTTGCTGAGCTGACTGGGCAGCCCTATGAGGGCAGGACCATGTCTCCCATTTTCCCTATGCATCCCTGGGCATAAAGGAGGTGCTCCAGGATGACTTGATAAATAAATGAAGATCAGAATAAAAGAGGCCAGACTGGGCATGGTGGCATGTGCCTATAATCCCAGCATTTGGGAGACTGAAAACAGGAGGATCACTTTGAGTCTGATTGGTGTATTGAGAGCCGGCAGAATTTATACCAAAAAA